TGTATTTTTATGAATTTATGTATTTTTTAAGTTTTTTATATAGATGTTTATGTATTTTAAATGTATAAATGTATTTTTTTTACGTATTTATATGTATTTTTAAGTATTTTACATATTTTTTAAAGTTTTTTTATGTATTACATAGTTATATGTATTTTTACGTATTTAAGTCTTTTTTAATGTGTTTTATATAGATGTTTATGTATTTTAAATGTATAACTATATTATTTTTACGTATTTATATATTTTTTATTTCAAATCGTCTTCACAATTTCATCCATTTCCCACAACATTTTAGAGTATGTCTAGATGATTTCCCTATATATCTATATAATTTAAGCATTTTTCATTCATTTATCTTGAAATTAAACATCGAATTAAAAAACAAAATAATAATTCATTAGTTTTCAAATTAAACATCAAAAAGTTTTCCGCTTATAAGTTTTCGTATGTGCATAAATTATTAATTTTTTTTTAGTTTTATGTTTAATTTCAAATAAATGAATGAGAAAAGCTTAAAATATGTGGTATATAGGAAAACTATCTAGACATACTCGAAGAAAATGTGTGAATTTGATGAAATGGTGAAGACAACTTGCAGTAAAAAATAAATATATAAATACATCAAAATAACACGGTTATACATTTAAAATACATAAACATCTATATAAAAAAAACTTTAAAAGAAATACATAAATACGTAAAAATACATATAAATACATAATACATAAAAAACACATAAAAATACATAAAAAAAATATGTAAAATACTTAAAAATATATATAAATATGTAAAAAATACATTTAAACTTTTAAAATATATAAACATCTATATAAAAAACTTTAAAAAAATACATAAATACGTAAAATACATATAAATACGTAATACATAAAAAATAACACATAAAAATAAATAAAGCATATGCAAAATACTTAAAAATACATATAAATACGTACAAAATACGTTTATATATTTAAAATACATAAAAATACGTAAACATATACATATAAAAACTTTAAAAATATACATAAATATGTAAAAATATATATAGATACATAAAAAATACTTTTATATATTATACAATTTTTGACGAAATCTACAGAAAAATCTCATTAATTTGCAAAAATTAACGATTTGGTTCCATGACCTGCTGAATAGGTTAAAAATGGCTAAAATGAATAAATTAGCCGGTTTCTTGAGCTTTTCTATTTAAAAGGTAAAATAGTCTGAACTTTTCTATTCAAACTTTTTTAGGTTTTTATTAAATTTTTTTATAAAATATTATAATTTTTCTGAAAATTTCCCTACAAAGGTTTGTTGGTTTGGAAGAATAAGAGTTTGCCGATCACCATTATAACATGAAATCTATGACCAAATTCAATTTGAATCATAAATAGTCATCATGGTTGATCCACTCTCTTTACCGGGTTATAGTTCAACCGGAAGGATCAACCCGGGTTTGAAAACATTGATTCATGGTCAATATTTCATGGAATTAATGGTCATTGTGTTATATCATTTGAGTGTGAGCTTATATTGAATGATAATCATTTTAACGAATAAATCTTAAATTGGTTTATATCCTTTTCTTTAATTTGCAAACACAAAATACATGGGTTTGATTCCCCAATCTCACCTCGAGTCTTAGTTATATAGCCGATGGCCTATTACATGCATGGATCCTTATAATAACTCATTAAATAGCCAAAATTATCCAAACATATATGCCTACTTACTTTACCCAGTATATGTACATTACAAGACCCATACTACTGACTTCGAGAAAATGAAATGGTTGGGGCCAAAATTAGTAAGAAATACAATTCAAGGTTTTCTTATCTATCTTCCAATGATAATGTATCTATGTCTAGTCTGTTTTCGGTCTATGTCTTATAATGACTATCAAACAATGTGAGATTAGTTTGGATGTTACTTTTCTTTGAACGACAAATGGATAACATTAGGAAAAAAAAAACCAGCCAGAGACTAGAGGTGAGTATACATGGAAGCAAAGAAACAGAAAATAACAAAGGGATTACAGCCACCACCCAACAACATTATTTTCAAAACCATGCATTAGTTTCCGTTGAATGCATGACCATCTTTAGGTTTACTCGTTCACATAACAATATTTACTAAGAGTTTTTAAGTAACACTAACACAAATACAGTAACACTAACTTGGAGGATGATGAGATGATGGAGAGATATGATTTTTGTGGAAAAAAGAACCTCGCTGGAGGAGGGTAATGGTAAGAAAAGGACTTGAGTGCTTGGCTTGGATTCTTTCATTTAATGGCTCTGACTGGAAAAGGAAAGGAGGTCTTGGAAATGAATACACATCACGAGACCCAAACTCAGCCTTGACCCCACCTCCCACCTCCCACATGCACCATTTACATTTTTTGCAGCTTGGTTTTTGGATTCTCCCCTAAATGCATGCCTCCTATTATTTTTATACAACGTTAAATCAATACTATTCCATTTTTACTTCAATTATATTATATACACACATATACATATACCACTAAAAAAACTTTACACCTCAGCGTCTCTATTCTTTTTCTTATATGAATTTGATAATTAAATTTTAAATGGTATGGGTATACAGAATTTACATATTTTATCCTTTTAATATCAGTCTTAGATCGTATGCTAAACACAGTATTTTCATAATGAAAGAGACGGAAACGAATCGGAGGCTGCTACTGGTAGTTAAGTGTGGGAGCATTCAAGTGACTAGGAGTAATTAAGTGTGTTCACGAGAAATCTGCTCCTACTACTATTTTCATACTTCAAAATTCATTCACAATTAATTCCCTAGATTCATCTTATCTCGATTTTTTTTTTATCTTATCATTTATTTACTTGGATATGGTCTTATCTAAATATCGGTTCTCCTTGTTCCAATATTATAAAATTTTATCCAAACTATAAAAAAATCGTTTATTTTCACAGTGATAATTGTATAGATTTTTAAAATGATAATAAAACAAAATACAATACTTAAGTAAAAACCCATTTATATAT